AGTAGTTTATTGAGCAGTGCCTTCTAACTGAAAAATGATGGACTGAGTAGACACATCTATCTCTGATCAAATCCACTGAGACTCAGCGTAGAAAAGAGATTTTAAAACAAATAAGTGGAATGCCATGCTACAAAAAGAGAAATCTTAGTAGACCTGAAACTGAGATACAGCCCTGAAAAAAAGGAACCGGATAAAAAGATAAGCTGAAGATTGAATGCAGACAGCTAGAGAGTGAGACAAGAGAATGCACTGAGGAAATCCCTCAAAGGACAGCACAGTGCAATATTTTTAAGTGACACTGTGGAAGGAGTTAAAATCACCAACATTTATCTAGCAGGCAATCTGGAAAGAGAAAGGAGAAAAAATGGAAGAGCAGTAATATTTGAAAAACTGGCTGATAATTTCCCAGAACTGAAGAAACAGTTGAGTCCTCGGATTGAGAGATCTCACAAAGTGGTAGGGGTAATTTTTTAAAATATACAATGAACAAATAAACAAATTTTAAAAGAAACATAGATATATCAGAGTGATACCTAAGACCATCAGAAATAAAGAAAATTCTCAAAGAGATGAAATGCATTAATATACTAGAACTAAAATTCCAGAAAATGAGAATCAGATTGACTTCAGACATGTCTCATTATCCACAGTGCATATAAAAATAGAGACACTTCTTCAAAGGGCTGAGGAAAAACAACTTTGAACCAGAATTGCAAGTGCAACCAAATTATCATCTGAACGAAAAGTTGTAATAAAGACCATCTTAGACATACAGAGGCACTAAATTAATCACCACTGATCCTCTATTTAAAACACACACACACACACACACGGTTAAATCTTTAATAGTTTGACCATAAAAATGAATTTATAATAACTTGGAACTAAATTTCGAGATGACAGAAATACGGGAGAGGAGCCAGGAAGAAAGAACTAAAAAATCTTTCTCATTTGAATGGAGAATATAGATACTGATGATATTTATTTTTCTAATAAAATATTCAGTTAAAGGGTGTTCTCTAAGGGTAATGTACAGAATAGAACTAAAATAGACATTCGTGTCACATGACCTCCCACTCCTATGACAAATCTAAAAAAGTGTTCAAAGTTATTTTTTAAATTAATAATGGTATTTACAAGTTTTTGTAGGGACATGTACTTTTTTTTTTTTTTTTTTTGGTACGCGGGCCTCCTCTCCCGTTGTGGAGCACAGGCTCCGGACACGCAGGCTCAGTGGCCATGGCTCACGGGCCCAGCCGCTCCGGACCGGGACACAAACCCGTGTCCCCTGCATCGGCAGGCGGACTCTCAACCACTGCGCCACCAGGGAAGCCCTTGCCCATTTTTTAATAGAGTCATTTTTCTTCTTATTATTGGCTAAAATTCCAACAGGAACTCCGTGGTTTTCAGGAAAAGGAACAAAGAAAAGGTAGTAATTAAAATGACGGTGCACTGGCACAAGATTCTATAAACAGATCCAATGTACTGGAGAGAGAGCCCAGAAACGCACTGTGCATATATGGGAACTTGACCTATAATACCAGCATCATTTAAAATTGATCAGGAAGATGGAAATTATTCCACAAATGATGCTGGGACAATTGGTTATACCAAACTTAGATCCTTATCTCCTAGCACATACAAAAATTAAATCACAGATGGACTCTATAGACTTAATCATCACTAAAATTTAAAATTATTAACCTTAATGAAATAATGGCTCTAAGTAATAATTATCAGCTGCTGCTGACATTCCAACAAAGAAAGACAACCAGACACAAGGCGTTTCCTGATGGAAGTGCACACCCTGAATGTGATCACACCTCTAGATCTAACCACCCTTGCAGGAATAGAGGAACATGTGTAAAGTCACCACAGGGATGCTGTCAACAAGAGCCAGACTCTGGGAAACCTCACAGGAGAAATAGCCTGGTTGTTTCAACAAATATATTACAAGGGGGTGGCAAAAGGAACAGAGGGGAACCTACCAGTTGAAAGAGATTTAAACAACACATCACTGTTGCAAGGTATGGACCTTATTTGAATTTCAATTCAAACTAATGGTTACTATACATATACATTCTGCATATGTACTAAAAAATGTCATTCGAGCACCTGCCAAGGCACCATGCAAGGGAACGACGTACAAAGATAAGGAAAGGGGAGATGTAGGCATTCTCTGCTGGGGACACCACCACCTGCCCCCACCTCCACACAGATGGGGTTTGCTGTGAAGGCCAGAAACAGCAACCCCCATCCTGAGGGCAGGGTCCTCTTCTCAACCTGGTCCTGGCCCCCTCACCCAGGCACACAGTGAAGAAACGGTAAAAGTGCCCTCTTACTTCAGATGTCCCAGAGCTGAGGGACATACCTGTGACTGCACTTAGTCATCTCAGGACCCCAGTGCCTACCTACTGGGTGGAACAAAGGATGGATGGATGGATGGACAAGCAGATGGACAGGCGGATGGATGCCCAACCTACCAACTGTATCCCCTGAATCCCATTAAAACTCAGGCCTCAATCCTAGTCCAATGCTCCCTGAAACAAACTGCAGAGAACCTGAAACATAGTTTATAAGGTTATACAAGGTCTAAGCTGGACAGGTCCTAAAGGATCATTTGTTCTAACATCTTCATTTTATACAGCATAAAACTGAAATCTGTAGAGGACTATTTGCCCTTCTTCTTTAGAGGTAAAGTCAGGTCTGGAGCCCGGGTGTCTAAACTCCCAGTACAGTGGTTTTTGTATTAAGGGGTTATTCTTTAAAGTAACAACCCTTTTTTCCCTGTATTCTTAACTAGGTCATTCAACCAACTTTGTGGTGACCATCCTCTTACCCTCCAAGCGGTCCAGAGATTACTGGATTGCCAAGGGATCGGCTTTGCTCTGCCAACTAAATGAGTGAAAAGGTGCCACCTCTGTGCTTAAAAAGAACAAGGCCAGAGATCTTTCCTGATGGGGGAGAAAAGTCTGCGTAATTTATATGCGAGCAAAACAGGTTTACTTCTGATCTGGCTTAAAGGTAGCAAGTGTGGCTTTTATTTCTTTTATAACCTAAAATAAAGTGTTTTGAGTTTCTCTTTCTGGTGGTAATTCAAGCTCTGATGTGAAAGCAGTGAGTTCAGCGCTCACCTCTTAAGCCTGCTCCCCCTCCCCCATGCAGGAGGCAGCTTCCCATCAGTAAGGGGGGTGGCTTGGAGGGGGTAGGGGGGTGGGGGGGTGGCTGGGATGGGGCGGGGAGGGGACTGGGGCGGGGGGGGGAGGGCGGCGAGTCAGACCTCAGCACTTCCTCATCCGCATGGACTTCCTTCCTCTTCACGCTAATGTGAAAGGCCCACTGTACACGTCAGTCTCGTGGCCCTAGGTTCTTCCATGTCTAGACCAGATTAAGGCTCAGGGCCCAGCACATGAGATCTGGGCCCATGGTGCCATTCCCCCATGCTGTGGGGCTGGATTACAATCCTCAGAAGAGCCTGCGGTCTTTCACGATAGTGCAGGTCGCTCCCACTCAAGGGCAGAGGAATTTTCCGCTTTGGGGTAAAACTGTATGAAAACTGGCCAAGTCACCCTCCAGGTGCATTGGCGCCCCTGCCACCTCAAAAGCAGTGCTGAGATGGAGCAGCCGCTGTGGTTTGCAAACCATTTTGCATCAGCCCTGCCAACCGCGTCTGTTGCTTCCTCGGCCCGGATATGAGCCAAAAAATTAGGTACCACCCAGCTAGGATGTGGGCCTCTGGAGAAAGCCACGCCCCCTGCTTACAGGAAGAACAGGGTCAGCCACAGCAGTCCTGTAGACTCAAGTCACTGAGAAGCAGGGAGCACCACCTCTATTGGGAATCAGAGGGAAGAGGTGCCTCCTAAGTCAGGGGAGAGGCTACAGCTGCAGAAGTCAGAGGGTTGACATTAGGCACCGCAGCAGCTGTAATCCGAGGTCAGAACGCTGCAGGAAGCTGCACCAGCCTCATGCAGAGCCACTGCACACACTTGTGTCTGCTGGAGCCTGCACATAACCGCCACTACAACCGAAGAAAAAGGTCTTCTGCCCCTTTCACCTTCCAAATCTCACTAAGTGTATCTCATTAGAAGACTCTCGATCATAGCAGCAAGGGAATCTCGGAAAGTTTAGCCCTCCTACCCCTGCAATACAGGGGGCACAGAATGGAGCCAAGGTGGTGAACATGGATCCTGAGTGCCATCACATCACTCAGTGGGACTCAAAGATCTCCTTGACCCTGAAAATGACCAAGAATGAACCCACAAGAAAGTCTCTGGAAAAAGCAAGGGAAGGCCACAGAGCTGTAAGCCCAGGCAATCAAGGTACCTGAAACCAGATACTTCTTATTGGCCCCATCCAAGTCCTGGGCAGACCCTCTGGGTTTTTATGAGCTGCTCAGAGACCCAGGAGAACCAAAAGGAAACTCTGCCACAGGCGGGAGACCCTGGTCTGTAACCATGGTGGCCGCAGGGGGAGGGGGGGGGCGGGTATCAGCTGGGCAGGGCTGAAAGTTCCCATTTCAGACTCAACTAGGGAAATTCTATTTTTAATCATTTTATATACAGATTCTTCATAAGACTTTATTTGGAAAACACAAAGACATATAAATAATAAGTAACACACAGGACAGGGACGGGGGAGAGGTTGAAACCCATTTTCTTGCACAACACCCCTGACAAAGCCTACCTATCCACCAGTCTTCAGCATGTGGATGAGACACCCTCACACACTGTACACAATGAAAGCACTTGTCAGAGTGCAGGACCCACACTAGTCACGAGACCTTGAATAGACAGGAGCAGAACAGAAGTTCCACAGCCTACTGACTGTTGCGTCCAGAACCAGGAGAGGATGGGGAGAAGAGCAGCAGGAAGGAGGAAAGGGGCAGGGTCCATGGCTGCAGGCAGGCCGAGGAGCGGGGCCAGGAGTGCAGCAGGGATAGTATTCAGAGCATGTGAGCAAAAAGAGCTGTTTGCTTGGTATACACACTGTGGCAAAAAATCTACACAAAAGAAGTATTTAATAATTTTCTTACAATTAATTATTTTCATACAGCTCATTACGTTACAAAACTATACACCTTCCCCAAGCATTGCTGGATAACCCAGTCATTCCTTGGAAAAAGAAGAATCAACGCTGGCTTTTTAATTTTGAGTCTCTTCTCCTGGGTTGGGCCTATCAGGGCCGGAGCAGAGTGTGGAGTACAAAATGGCTGTCCTTCAAGTCCGAGGCGTCAGATCTTGGCTTCTCTGGTCATTACAGGAGGGTTGTCTCTGTTTGGAAAGCCAGCACCCATAACATAGGTGTCCAGACAGACAGGCAGGCACTGCTGACCACCATCTGGCTGTGGGGAGACTGCCCAGGGCGAGGGAGCCGCAGCTTGGCGGAGATGCGCCTGTCCAGAACGGGGACCTGGAGCTGTGGGATCCCAGCACTTGGAGGCAAAGAGAAAGACACAGTCTCAGGGCACAGCAAGAGCCACTGGATACTCCGAGGCCCCCAAAGGCCTGCACAGCTCCTTCTCACCTCTCTTCTCCAAAGACAGGAATGTATCTTAGTACGTTAATAGATTTCCTACATCTTGGCCCTCGTGACTACTGCTACAACAAAACCAAATGATATAGGCACGAAGATTAGCACACTGAACAACTCTCCCCCAGCTATTTGCTTCTTGGTTCAAGGATTATTAAAATTAGTTTGCTCAGACCTGCTAATTATCAGCCTCTGGGCAATGCCAAGCAGGGACCCTCCTCCCTGACCACACAGAGAGGCACCGCCAAGCCAGGAGGATTCCTCTCCGGGTCTCTGGCTCTCTCCCCTACCCCAGCTTGGGTCTCATGTGAACACCACGCAGCCTTCCCAGGTCAAGACACAACAAGCGCAGGCTCACCTGGTCCTTTCAGCTCAGCTCTGGTGTAAAGTGCCCAATCCCTGCATGGCCACCTTGAAAGGAAATGGCCCAGACTGAGAAGGTACTAAACAGGTCAGTGCATTCCTCCATCAGTGAAGGATGGTTGAGGAGCCTCCCCGTGTCAGGCACCATGGGGCACATGGACACCAAAAGGATCTGTCCCTGCTCTCCAAGTCACATCTGGCTGCCAGCTTCTGTCCATTTAAAAATGCAAACCCCACAGCACACGGGATGCCTGCCTCAAACCTTTCAGTGGCACCCTACTTCTCTCAGGCATGAGATTCTCACAGTGATTCCATCCAATTTACCTTCTAGACCTACCTCACCCCTCTTCCCACTGACCTCCCAGGCTCCAGCCAGAATTACTCCATCTTGGTTCCTTTAACATGGTCACTCTCTCCACATCAGGCTTTTGCACTGTTCCCCTTGCTGGAACTCCCTCCCCTCCCTGTTCAGTTGTTTACACATTCATTCAACATTCATTATTAAGCACCTATGCAGGTATCAGATGCCTGCATCTCCTGATCCAGACGCAGAAGCTCTGTTCATTGGGCTTCACTTTGTCAGGCTTCTACTCAGCAGCAACCAAAAGGTCGCTTCCTCCAGGAGGCCCTTCCTGACACCTGCCACCCTAAGTTAGATAGTAATGTCCAACACACAAACACACACACACGCGCGTCCCCGCAGCCTCCTACACTCCCCTTGTGAATAATCAATTCAAAATCCAGCTTCCTCCCCAGACTGTGAGCTCCATGAAGGCAGGGCCAGTGTCGGTCTGGTTCACCCCCAAAGCCACAGCACCAACACAACAGCGGGCACATAGGAAGAACTCAAAAAGTTTGGTATAAATTGAACTGTAGCCTGGATCCCAGGCCTCTCTGGTGTAGTTCTTCCAGCAGAAACCAGGCTGGGTCCCCATCTTTGGCTCCTCTACCCACCTCTGATCCACCCACTGGGCATCTCTGTGAGTGCACATTCTGTGGTCACCATGCTCCCTGCAAAACGTAGGGGCTGAACAAGCCCATTCCTACAGAGGTGCTTCCAGCTCCGGAAAACTATGAGCTTCTCCCTGATCTGCGGCGGAGAAAGGGCTGGGAAATCAAGTTCTTCTCAACCTTTATTCCAGCCTCATACTACTTTTAACAGACCCACCCATGCCCCCCGCCCCATCTGTTCGTTAACAGAGATAAATATGGGGTCCTGGCCCCGGCCCTGGCTTGAAGCAGTTACTTTTAATCTGGATTCACCTCCACCAGAGTGGACAGAAGACCGCTGTCCAGGCCATGAGGAACGAGAAAGGTTGCACCGTGATGGTGGGGCCACTCACCCCCTACCACAGCCTTGAACTTCCGCCCCTGAAGCAGTGTGACCCGCATTCCTGGGCTGCCGCCCACCCGCACTTCCGGGGTGAGGACTGACCGGGCGATGGGCTCGTGGCTGGCCCAGCCCGGCCCAGCCACCTCACCTCTCCTCCAGTCGGACCCACAGGTCGCTGAACTGCCGGAGCCGCTGCCTCCGCTGCGGCCGCCTCTGCTTCTTCCGGAACTTTCGTCGTGCCTCGCCCGCCAGGTAGGAACTTCTGGGCAGAGGCTGGTGGAGCGGCAACAGTGGGGGCTCGGCAGACCCAGCTTCCGGTACCTGAGCTTCCGGGGCGGGCGCTTCCGGAGCCAAGACGGCAGAGGGGGCGGGCTGTGACAACGGGTTTCTGGTCTTTTCTCTGTAAACAGAGGAGGAAGGAAGAGGAATTGAAGGAATGTCCCCCAGCGTGATGCCCTCCCCTGCTTTTAAGGCTCGGGACCTCACAAAAGGCAGATAATGTGAAAGTTCAAGCCGGCTGGGGAGGCAGGGGTCTCAAAACCACCTCGAAAAGTGATCACTTTGACGCCTTTGTTTCTCCCTCACACACCTTCATTGTACTCTCTCCAAATCCCCTAGCTCTGGGGAAGAAATAAAAGATTCTTTCTTAACCGCTTATAACTACTGCACTTGCCTAACAACGGGTCACCACTGCCTAGAAAGTCACTGAAGATTACGGCGTTCTAAGAGGAGTGAAAAATGTTTAAATGCTCTTTACTTAGAACAATTGAAGTGGCCCTCAACCCTGTTCCTCCCTCCTGTATCCCTATAAGGGCTCTGCTCAGAAAGAGGCTCTTCAACAGCCACAGCAGCCTGCCCAGATCCCTCAAGGATTATCACATGGCTGCCGAGAAGGGGAAGAAGGAAGGAGGTACCTCCACAGCCAGTGCCCTCGTTATGTCCTCACCCACCCCTTCACTATGGGCATCTCCCTGGCTCTGGGCCCAGAGTCCCTCGCCCCTTCTTCTCCCTGAACAGGAGGTCCTTTAGGGACCTCATGCTCTCTCATGACCTCACCCAGGAGCACCGTAGAGAAAGAAGTGCACCACTGAAAACTCTTAGACGCTACCCTCACAGAACACAGTCAGGACAGCTGCTGCAGCCATCCACATCAAACTCCCCAGGATCGTGGGAGAGGGTGAACCCAGGCCTTTGCACTGGATCTCACAGACTCTGATAGAATTAAGGGTAGGGGCACTGAATAGATCCCTGGCAGAGGAAACTACATGAACAGAGAGGAAGGGGCTGGAAAGCTAAAACTGGGAGAAGAAAGGGCAGAAAGAAAAGGGCTGTGCAGGCGAGGAGTCCGAACTGTAACCTGACTCTGACAAGTTGTGTCACCTTCGGTTTCTTCATCAGTAAAGGAGAAGAAACCCCCACCCCACAGGCTGGTGTTGAGGGTTCACTGAGAGTCGGTGTGAACCAAGTTACCACCTGACAATTGATCAATAAACGTTCCTTCCTCCCCAGGGAAGTGTGAGCAGCCCAGTAAATGACAGGACTGGTTCTCAGCCTTCATTGTGTGTCAGAATCTCACGGAGAGATTTTTTAAATATTGACTCCTGACCTCTCTTCCCCCAGGGGCAGGTGTCAGGGTTAGAGGCAGATCTAAGGAGTCTGAGAACAACCAGCAACACACACACACACACCCATCCACACTCCCAAGCGGGGCCCTCTCTGGCAACCCCAAAGATAGGGTGATAAACCCCAGCCGTGACAGTCAGCCTGGGGCCAGGGGCTGAGACGTGATCAGAGGGCCCAGCCCACCCTGCTTTCCAAGAGCACACGGTCCAGTGGGTGAGGAGAGATCCACAGACCCTCTCCGCCAAACAAGCAGAGAATCCCTAAGGGCTGGGCTCTCCCCCCAGAGCTGAAGGAGAACGGGAGGGAGAGATGGATGGAGATCTGCAGCAGGACTTTCTCAGTCAGGGCAAGAGTGGAGGGAGACTGCAGACAGTGGAAAGGAAGAGCATTAGCAGAGGTGGAGAGGCAGCGGCGAGGACAAAAGGTTTTCTGATATCAGAGGCAGATCCGTGCTGGGAAAAGGTGGGGTCTGGGTGCCGAGGCATCGTCATGAAGAAACTGGACTTTGGAAGAGGACAACAAGAAACCCTGAAGGTTTCTGAGTCAGGGACACTTGCGAGATTAGTCCCACAGAAAGGTGGAGAAGGGACCAGAGGGCGATGACCTTAGGAACAAAGGGGGCAAATCTGAGAGAAATTTTAATGGAAGAAGCCAGAGGCCTGGTGAAGGTGGAAAATGAGAAGAAGTCTTAGGTGAGGGCTTTTGTAAACTAGAAAGTACTGTGTGAAGAACGGCTGTTACTGATAAACGGCTGTTACTGATAAACGGAGTGCAAGATATGGAGAGGTGGGGGATGAGATAAGCCCAGGATGTAGTCAAGTTTTCCAGAGAATCATGGCTCATTGGGATGGAAAGCGGGCTCCCAAGGAGGAACCTCTGGAGTGACGGGATAGAGGAGGACCTGACCTGAGACAACATGAGGTGAAGGTGGCTCTTCCGAGGAGAAAGAGGGCACCCGGAGACCTGGAGAAGGGAGCCATCGGGCAGGCACCACAGCTGGACCCCCTCTCCGTCCCCTCAGCAGAGGGCATGTATTTTCCTCCTGGAGTCCTCACACCGCAGCTGAGGGCTCTGCCAGGAGGGGGCGCTGGTGACCACGATCTGGAGGGAGTGGGAGAGGAATGGAAGGTGGGCGAAACTGTGTTCCCTCAAAATTCACATGCTGGAGCTCTAACCCCCAGTACCTCAGAATGTGGCTGTATTTGGAGACAAGACTTTTAAAGAGGTGATTAAGTTAAAATGAGGCCTTTAGGTTGGGCCCTAATCCAGTCTGACTGGTGTCCTTAGAAGAGGAAGTGTGGACACACATTGTGCGCACACCAAGGAAAGGCCACATGGGGACAGTGAAAAGGCCACCTGCAAGCCAAAGAGAGAGGCCTCAGGAGAAACCAAACCTGCCGACACCTTGATCTTGGCGTCTAGCCTCCAGAACCATGAGAAAATAAATTTCTATTGTTAAAGCCACCCAGTCTGTGGTATTTTGTTAGGGCAGCCCAGACTGGTACAAAGTGGGTAGGAAGGGCCACCTTGTGCCCACTAGGACTGGACACGGGGCAGAGACTAGCAGGGAGGCCAGCGTGGGGCAGCAGCATTGATGAGGGTGGGAGATCCCGGCCTCCTGAATTCTTTACAGAAGGGGCCACAGGGCAGGAGGGTGACTCTGCATAAAAATGAGAAGTAAACAGACCTGGGGGTAGGAAACAGCTCAGAGAAAGAGAAGGGGCTTTGCTTCTGCCCCGGAGATGGGTCTGACAGACACTCCCAGCATCTCCAGCCCCCCTGACCTTATATTAGGACCGATTCCACCACCTGCCTCCCTAAAACTTCCCAAGGGCCCAGGTCAAAGGCACTGAGCGTTAAGTCAAATCACCCCTCCTGGGCCCCAGGACCAAAGAGCATCCTCCCCTTACCTTCCTTTCTGCCCCAAGCACTGCTGAGGAAAGGCCAGTGTGGCCTCTACTGCCCAAAGTGCCTGGCCGGCCAACCCAAGTCTGACACAGTCCCAGCCACGAGGGGACGCCAGCTGAGCTGGGGACCGAGTGGCCGCTTGGTGTCCGTGCTGGGGCCCTTGGAGCCTCTCAGGACACAGCCCACCCTGGCGCCCAAGCAGCCCTGTGTGGCTCTCAGCTCCCCTAACTGCTCCCTGACCGGGATAGAAGCACAGGAAGGTTACTTGTTGATGGGTCGTCCAGCGGGGGCGTGTTCTACCTCATAGCCTTCGTGCCGCAGAACATCAAGAACCGTGTTGTTGCCCATGAAATGCCCTGCAGTAAGAAAAATGATCAGAAATGTGGCAGCTCTCGTGACCCCCAAACACACACCCCAGAACCAAGAAATAACCCTGCCAACCCCGTCCCTTCTAACCAGGCCTACTGGGGTACTCAGTTCAGAAAGCTTCTGCAAGGGGGCCTCTCAACAGCTCTGCCAGGATAAGCCGCGTTTCAGAGATAAGGACTCAGGATCAGAACCATGCGGTGAGCTGCCTCGAGTCACACAGCTCAGAGGACACCAAGTCCCAACCTTCCACCTCCGGATCCAGAGCTGACAGTCCTGACCATTCTTGTTTATGTAAGCCAAGCACCTCTGAGACCCCAGGCCCCTTCTGTCCTATGTCTACTTAACAATGCACAATAAAACCCTCCTTTTAGCAGAAGCCACCAGAGCTGGAAACCTCAACCTGAATTTTATTTCACTTTTTTCTTTTTCAATAAAAAGCAGGAAAGATCAACCAGATAAGCTTACAGTGGCATCGTAAAATAAGTATTTTAAAAGGGTAGATCCTGGGATGCATCTTCTTTCATTTCAGGTTTTGATGCTCAGAATTGACATGATCCTCTGGGGTCACGATGCCCCTTTCTGTGACAGTTGGCACGTTAATGTCCTAAATGGCTAATTAAATTGCAGCGCTCCATCCTCTGATCCAGCAGAACAGAGGCATCGTTATTATCTCCATTTGAAAATGGAAAACAGGTAAAGGAGGCTCAGGACTTCACACACAAAAGAAGCAGCAGAACAGAATCTAAACCCAGGCAGCTTGGCCCCAGAGTCTATGCAATGTTGACAACCGAATACTCAAGAGGCAGAGACCGGGAAAGCAAATTAAGGTCCATCCAAACTCTCCCTTGTCCTGACGCCACAGCACTAAGAAGCAGAGGGAACTTAGAGCAGCCTGTGGGAGCCTGGGGAGCCCGAGGGTGGTGTTTGGGGCAGAAGGTACTGGGCTCTACTGCATTCTTGGGTCCAACCGTAGAATTTAGGACCCCAAGACTGATGAAGGGCAACTGACTCAGATGAAAGGGACGTTGGCAAGACCCAGATTAGCCCTGGTGCAGAAGCACAGCAAACTCACGTATAGAGTATGCCTGGACTCGGGGCCGGGGGAGGAGACTGAGCTTGCAGAGTGTTGCAGCGACGGCTTCCACTCTCCCAGCCGTTACCAAGTCCATGTGACAGGGAGTAATCACAATAATAAAGATAGTTAACATTTCCTGAGCATTACGAGGTGCAGGGCACTGTTCTCAGTGCTTTACACATCATTCAGCCTCCCCCCAACAACAACCCTATAAGGTAGATGTATTATTACCCCCATTTTACAGATGACGAAGAGGCATAGGTGGTGCCCAGGTGGTCTGGCTCCAGCGTCCATGCTCTCAACCAATTAGGAATGAAAACAGGATTTGTCGAGCAAATGAACAGCCCCTATTAGCAATCTTTATCATTAAGGACCAAGCTATTCTGTGTGACTTCAATTTCCTTCTACTCCAAAGGTGAGCTCCATTTCTCATCTTTAAATTTCATCTGCAGATCCCCGTGACAGACGTCGCTGTGGCAGTTTAAACCTCTGGAGCTTTCAGTTTGGGGAGATCCTCACTTTACAATCAAAAGTGTGCTAACCACACAGCATTTTAAATTTCTCACTGCCAAGGCTAAGAGTTTGGGAGCAATTTCTGAATTTCTGTGGTCCCCTCTGGTCAACTCAGCCTTCAGAAGGCACCAGAAGAAATAGACTCATGAGGTGGAGAAAACAGCCCCACGAAGATAACTGCACCCTGGTGGCTATCCAGGACACTCCTGATACCCAGAGTGCCCAGGGGCTGTGAGGTCTCTATCCAGAGCTGCAGCCGTATGAAGAACCATGACTGAGAATCAGGCAAGCCCAGGTGTCCCAGTGTCACCTGTGCCATCTGTCCAGCACAGTCTCCATCTGGAGGGCTGGCCCTCCAAACTGCCCAGGTCCAACCCACCTGGCAGGCTGACGTCCTCTCAAAGCCTCTCCTTGCCCCTCTGGGGCCTGACCCCTGTCGGGGTGCCTGCAGGGTGAGGGCTGACAGCTGAAAGCCATTCATTGACATAGGCCGGACATGGGCACAGCGCCACACAGCACAGTCCACAATCCAACTACGGAACACGGGACTCACGGAGGAGGAAGCCACTCCCAGACCCACCCAGGGCTACCAAGGCCGACACTGCGATTTGTTTCATGATAGAATTTTTCAACAAACAAGGTACAGGAACCTGACCCCTTACTCTTTTCTACAACAGCTTTATTGAATATTATTCACATAACATAACATTCATTCTTTTCAAGTGTACGATTCAGTGATTTGGGGAACATTCACAAAGTGGTGCAACCCTCACCACTAATTTTAAAGCATTTTCGGGAGCTGAGATTTTGATAGGGCTTGCGCTGAATGTGTAGCTCAATCTGGGGAACGTTGTCATCTTAACACTATTTATTATGTCTTCCAATCCACAAACATGAAATGTCTTTCTATTTACTTAGGTCTTCTTTAATTCCTTTCCATGATGTTTTTAGTTTTTATTTTGCATCTGCTCTTCACTAAATTGAGTCCTTAGTGTTTTTTATGCTGTTGTAAATGGAACTGGTTTCTTTTGTTTTAACTTATTTCTTTTCTTGAAGTATAGCTGATTCACAATGTTGTGTTAGTTTCAGGTGTACAGCAAAGTGATTCAGTTTTATACATGTATATATAAATGAGTATGTATGTGTAAATATATGTACGTATATATTCTTTTCTGATTCTTTTCCATTATAGGTTATTACAAGATACTGAATATAGTGGAACTGGCTTCTTAGTTGCATTTCCACATTATTCATTGCTAGGGTATAGAAATACAACTGGTTTTTGTATATTGACCTTGTATCCTGAACTCGGTTATTAGTTCTAATAGGCGTTTTTTGTGGATTACTTAGGATTTTCTATCCACAAGATGGTGAAAAAAGAGATGGTTTACTTCCTCCTTTCCAATGTGAATGCCTTTTATTTCTTTTCCTTGTCTAATTACCCTGGCTAGAACCTTCAGTACAATGTCGAAGAGAAGTGGTGAGAGCAGACATCCGTGTCTTGTTCCTCATCTTAGGGGGAAAGCATTCAGTCTTTCATGATGTCAACTATGAAAAGATGTCAACTTGATGAATGGATAAAGAAGATATGGTATACACACACACACACACACACACACACACACACACACACAAAATGGAATATTACTTGGCCATAAAAAAGATGATGTCAACTATACGTTTTTCATAGCAACTTTTTTAACAGGTTGTTAAAGTCCCCTTCCATTCCTAGTCTGATGAGTGTTTTTATCATGAAAGAGTTGCATTTTGTCAAATGCTTTTCTGCATCCATTGAGATGATCGTGTGATTCTTGTCTTTTATTCCATTAATATGGGATATTACATTAATTTTCAGATGTTGTGGTAAGCTAAATAACGGTTCCCCAAAATATATTCAGATCCCAATCCTTAGAACCTGTGAATGTTATCATACATGGCAAAAAACGGAGGTAGATGTTTTGCAGATGTAAGTAAGCTAAGGATCGTGAGATCAGGAGATTACACTGGATCACTCATTCTGCTATTCCGGAAGTGCTTCTCTCCAATCCCCGCATTTTACTGGTAAGAAAAAAAAAAAACTAAGCGGGGTGACTTGTTCAAGTTTATGAAGCTAGTGGAAGAATTGAAAAGAAACCTAGACCAGCAAGTACACACTTCTGCACACTACCCAGCCTCCAGCATTTCTGTCCTTAATTCTGGAGGCTGCAAAGATATGTTAAAATCACTCAAGAAGATAAGAGAATTTATTTCAAAAATCCCACAAAAGGAAATAATTTTCCCAGTGTATTTCCATGTATACTACTCATGGTTAATAATAGCTGATGTATCAGCCCCCAGCCTTAGACTTAGGATGCTACAGTCAGGGAGGAGAGAGAAAACAGACGAATTTTAAGGGAAGTTAAAAAACAGAAAGGTGCCAGTAAGAAGTTGGGATTAAGTGCTGAGTTCAGAAGAGGGAGAAATGCCTCCCTGGCTGCGGAGTGTATCAGGAGCCCCACGTGGAGGGAGAGCTAGTGTCACAGGCACCAAAGTTTCAACCACGACGGATACTCTGACATCATCAAAAAGTCAAAGAAGGTGTCACTCCTCTCACCGCGTAGCAGGGCCCACCTCAACACCCCCTCCTCGGGAGAAGCAGCAGAGCCCTGGGTCTAATCAGAGGTAGCCTGCAACTCACCGGCTCCAAAGACAGGGAACTCCTCCAAAAGGGCCTTCACCCGCTTCCCCATTCTCTTGTTCCGCTTGTAGATAAGCTCCCGGCGGAAGTAGCTGTCGATCTCCTGAGCAGCGATGCGCTCCGCAGGTGGTAGCGTGGCATTAATAAAATCGGGAACCTCCGCCAAAATAAAGAGAAAACAATTAAGGGCAACAGAGTTATGAACAAAGCTGCTTAATTTGAGCATCAAATCACCCAGGCCAGAGGGTCAAGACGCTGTCAAGAAAAAGGTAAAAAGTGACACACGATTCTGGGAGCCTCCTGCCGGCTATTTTTCCAGACAGTAATATCATTCTCTGTAACCCAAGTGAGAAAATATTAAATGAAGTGCCCTGAAAGAACTCTTAGGCTATGTCAAATGGTATTTCTGTTCCATCTAAATGATTCTGTTTGGGGAATTCCCTGGCGGTCCAGTGGTTAGGACTCCTGGCTTCCACTGCAGGGGGCACAGGTTCAATCCCTGGTTGGGGAACTAAGATCCCGAAAGCCACACGGGCAGCCAAAAAGAAAAAAAAAAGATTCTGTTTGTTGCCACGTGTTTCTATAAGGAAACCATTTCTGTGCATAGCACGTCACAGTTGTGTGTTTTTTTTAATTGAAGTACAGTTGATTTACAACATTGTGTTAGTTTCAGGTATACAGCAAAGTGATTCAGTTATACATATAGTTTTTTCCAATATAGGTTATTACAAGATCTTGAATACAGTTCCTTGTGCTATACAGTAAATCATTGTTGTTTCTCTGTATTATGTTTAGTAGTTTGTATCTGTTAATCCCAAACTCCTAATTTATCCCTCCCTTCCCTCTTTTCCCTTTGGTAAGCATAAATTTGTTTTCTATGTCTCTGAGTCTGTTTCTGTTTTGTAAATAAGTTCATTGGTATTATTTTTTTAGATTTCACATATAAATGATATCATATATTCATCCTTCTCTGTCTGGCTTACTTCACTTAGTATGATAATCTCTAGGTCCAGCCATGTTGCTGGAAATGGCATTATTTCATTCTTTTTTATGGCCAAGTAATATTCCATTATGGGTGTGTGTGTGTGTGTATACATATATACACCACATCTTCTTTATCCATTCATCTGTCAGTGGACACTTGGGATGCTTCCACAGCACATCCATAGTTTTAACTTGTTTGATTCACACAAGATTTTTTCATAAAAATAATTTTACACAATTACATACTTTAGAATCAACCATTATGATTCAATTACCAAATACATCGAACTTCTATAGACATTCAACTGTTTTATAAATTCCTTATCTTTACATTTTCATTATTTCTCCAATTCCCATTTCTCCCTCTCGCTCTCTCCACTGTTCTTTGCCCTACTGGCGAATATTTCACCTGATTCTAGTGCACATCTTAGCCAGTTTCAGTATTTTGGCTAACAACAGGGTGCTAATACACCAAAACTGTGACAATCAGGAGTGGTTTTCGCAACACAGTAGCTGTAGGCGAGACTGACACGTTGCATTGGTTCTCTCCCCAACCCCAAACCTCGACCTCGCCCCACCGCCCCCTCTCCTGCTCCCTGGAATTTAACAAGGTTAAAAATTACCCTAGTCAGGGCTTCCCTGGTGGCGCAGTGGTTGGGAGTCCGCCTGCGGATGCAGCGGACAACGGGTTCGTGCCCCGGTCTGGGAGGATCCCACATGCGGTGGAGCGGCTGGGCCCGTGAGCCATGGCCGCTGAGCCTGCGCATCCGGAGCCTGTGCTCCGCAACGGGAGAGGCCACAACAGTGAGAGGCCCGCGTACCGCAAAAAAAAGAAAAAAAAAGAATTACCCTAGTCAAATACAGAGTAGGATATATACCCTACTCCTTCTCCTATTTCCAGTACCCTTCGAAAGACCTTTTGAAAATCCTCACACGCTGTAATATAGACATCAATTTCCATTTTCTGGATAACAGCTCTCCTGTTATTTCCTCGAAATGATATTCTTTCATTTTCAAGTCAAGAGCCTTCATCTTCTCCTTTGTCATCTTTTTTTTAATCATGTCATTTACGTAAGATCCTGCCCTCCGTTTCCCAAAATCTCTTCTCTTCCGCACAGCAGTGCCTTTCCACCAGCAGCCTCTCCACGCAGGCAGCCCCAAATGTGCAAGGTGACCTCCCCCTGCCGTCCTGCTCCACCTTCTAAATGCCAGACATGCCCTACAACCTGCACCACTGGGCCACGCGCCTGGCCCTCATTCCACAACGGCAGGCACATTCCCCATACCCCACAGCACCCGCAGGGGCCCCGTGAACAGGACAGGCGTGGAGGAGCCACAGGAGAGGAACGCGTAAGACAGCTGTCCCCAAACAGCTCTGTCAGCCGTGCCATCTGCCCGTATAACTAACTCCCAAGCACCTCCCAACCCAAAGTTAAAAGATTAACTGTTATCTGCCGCCTCAAATTTTAATTTCCCAAGTGACCTTGACCCTTCTCCTCACTTCCCCCACCCAGGGTGTACGTAAGAATGATCACCACCAAACTCTGCTATGCCTTTTTTAGTGTATTTCTTCTTTTCCACTTCCTCTTGCTTGCTCTGCCTTGGTTTTACTTCCTCCCTCTGTAGACTTTCTGGAAAGTTCCTTTTATCTTTTGATATTTGCAGGGTGAGTCCCTCTCCCTGGGACATTCCTTTTTCACCTCTTATACTCACTCCCATTTCCTATGACAGGGTCCCCGGATCTAACAGACCTGGACAGCATCACTCACACCCACCAGCTCCCTCCTCTCTCTTTTCCAGTGTCCTGAAGGTGGGCAAGACAAAACACTCCCCCATGTCAGAAGCTCAGCTGGACTCGCCACTTCCACGTGATCTTAGTGGGGAAGGGAAGGAAGCCAGGGTTTGTCCCACGGGAAGCTTGTTGATCGAAGCATAACATATATCCATCCTACCTCCCTCCTGTAGGGAGGCTGCCATCCTCTGAGCCCTGGCCGGCCACTTTCTTCCCCTAGGTGGCCCCCAGGTAAGGCCTGGCCTGTGTCTACACTGACTGCACCAGTTCGGCCACACTCACTACAGTACTGCAGGATGGAATCCATGACTGGAAATGCTGGCAGCCTCCCCAGCTTCTTATGTGCCCCTCCGTAAGAATACCAGGAACACTCCCCATTGCATCGTGCTCACATGTTTCTGGAACTCACCAGAAGCTACAGCCAAAGCTCTGCTCCATCATTTCTCAAAAGTTACCTAAGCCAGCAAGGAGGCTTTCAGACTCAGACCCTTCTCCTCTCTGAAGGCTGGTTCGTGCTGCCTGCTGCATAAGCCATGGGGCCTGCCGCCAAGTCCCTTGAAGCTTCATCCTTTGACTTCGTCTGGGAATTAACTCTCATCAATGCCCCTCTCAGTTCTTTTTTTGTTTTTTTAAATAAATTTATTTATTTATTTATGGCTGCGTTGGGTCTTCATTGCTGCACGCGGGCTTTCTCTAGTTGCAGCAAGCAGGGGCTACTCTTCATTGAGGTGCACGGGCTTCTCATTGCGGTGGCTTCTCTTGTTGTGGAACATGGGCTCTAGGCGCGAGGGCTTCAGTAGTGTGGCATGCGGGCTCAGTAGTTGTGGCGCACAGGCTTAGTTGCTCCGCAGCATGTGGGATCTTCCCGGACCAGGGCTCAAACCTGTGTCCCCTCCATTGGCAGGAGGATTCTTAACCACTGAGCCACCAGGGAAGTCCCCCTCTCAGTTCTTAAGTTTCCTAAAGAATGCTTTTGTTAGCTGCAGCATCCCACTCAACACCTACATATGCCCAATTGTATTTTTAGAGCCCTTCGTGACCTCGATTCTCTGTACACAGGATGTCCCAGTGTCGGCAGGTAACATCCTTATTCTTGCACTTAAATGCACCCTGAGCTGAGCAGGGGATAAGGGCTCTCACCTGGGAGCTGTCATGGCTGCAGATGATGGAACTGAGGTCCCCGCAGTTATAGTGTTTGATGAGGTCCTCTGTTGTATAGGGGATCTGAAGGCTGCCCGCTCACAGGCTCTCCTGCTGCAGGAGGGGCTGGTTTAAAGCAAAGATGACCTGAGGAGAGAAAATATCGGTCTCTTTTAAGTCCTCTGACACAGCAATCATTAGCTGCCGTCTTATTTCTTTTGTCCATGGTTGGCAATAGCCTCACCTGTGTTCGTTATATAAGGAATGGACCCTGCCGCTACAAAAGGGAATGCAGGGCTTCCCTGGTGGCGCAGTGGTTGAGAGTCGGCCTGCCGATGCAGGGGACGCAGGTTCGTGCCCCGGTCGGGGAAGATCCCACATGCCGCGGAGCAGCTGGGTCCGTGAGCCATGGCTGCTGAGCCTGTGCGTCCGGAGCCTGTGCTCCGCAACGGGAGAGGCCACAGCAGTGGAAGGCCTGTGTACAGCAAAAAAAAAATAAAAAATAAAAAAAAATAAAAAAGGGAATGCAAGTCCCTGGACCGTGTCCAAAGAAAAGGAGGACAGTCCTGCCCAAGTCAGCCCCCAGCAGATGACACCTGGGGAAATGCCTTAAGAGGGACACCGACAACCTGGAACTCTCCCATGAGAGTGATCAAGAGGTGAGGGTCCCAAAGAGCTGGCTTGTGAGGACCTGGGGAGGTGGGGCAGGGAGGGACACACAGACAGACACATGAACCACCAGGTTCCAATTACATCAAGGACTGGACAGGACTGGACACAGTACACACAGGTCTTTTCCAACCATCAGGGTGGCATCTGCCAGCTAATGGATTCATTAGGTCCATGGGATGTTAATGGAAGTTATTGTGGGAAAAGGAGGGGAAATGAAGGCTACACAAAATCAAACAGATTTTTATCTTTATGAAACTCTGCCAAGTCTTGACACACTAAAGTGTGCTCTGCTTCTCCCCGAGGAGGGGAGAGCGTGCTGGGTTTCCCAAGCTGATTTCAGGCACACATCGCAAGAGAAGGGTTAACTGGAACATCTTTGGGGACAATTCAGACTCAAGGAATTTTACAAAGCAGTGAATTGCCCTTGGCACTGGAGAGCTAGGTCAGAGGGGGAAAGGCGGGGATTCTGGCACCTTTCCAGGTGAGAATTGGGACCAGCCACCCTCTACAAGCCTCCTGACAGCACTGTGGCATTTTCCCTCTCATTCACCCAAGTATGGACACAGACATATCACCTTTGACAGCTGCCCCAGTAATCAGTGTATAGGATACTGCCTTTGCTGGAATGTTCCCCGTCTCCCTCTGGCTGAAATGCAGACAGGCGGGACCTGTCTGATCATGAGGTCTTCAGCAGGAAATTTTCAATTCTCTGGAGATAACACATTTCAGGTCTCAAGTCATCAAATGACACTATGCAGCCCCAATCCCCTTCTTTCTCCTCCTCATTCTGAGTGGCAAAGAGCATGGGAGTCTTGTCACCTTGCTTCCCACAGGCCACCACGTGTGAGCCTGCCTGCCACACACCCTCCTTCCACACCCCTTCCTCCCTGCGTTACTCTGTCCCTGTCAAGGCATCTTAACCAAATGGGGAGGGGGGCAGCTCCCTCTTTGTAAAATCCCCTCCTCTCCTCTCTTCTCTCCACATCCCCCCCTTCCTGTCAGAGACACCTCCTCCAGCCTCTCCTGGAGGTCAGCTCCCCAAGGATCTGTAGACCAGCCTCTTCTATCTTGGGACAGGACCCTCTGGGCCATGCTGTGTTCCCACCCTCCCCAGCCCTCTGCTGGTGATGTGAGTTGACAGAAGCAAACATGTCCATGGGCATGTCCGCAAATTTCAGTCTAAGTGAGGAAACTCAAGATGAGCCCCTGGGTTCTAAAGCCATACAGTGAGGACCTATCCACACCACTGGGTGTTGCTAAATGGCTTTCAATCAGCTGGAGGAAGAACCTTCGGAGGGGAGGCCAGGGGGCGTTATGGAAACACCTCTCAGGTTTGCCATGCCCCAGGCTGAGGCTTCACACGTTCTGTCTCAGTATAACTCATCCAAACCAAGATCCCAGGGTCTGATCGGCTCACAAACACCTGCTGATGGCTTTTAGTGTTCTAAAGGCATTCGGGATGAGCCCAGGTTACCTGTTGCTAAGAGACCTTCCTCTAAGAGTTTCCATTGATTCTGGAATGTTTTTATTAAAGTGTTCTTGGTATTTAGAGAAGATTGGGCCACTCATTCTAATAGACTCACCAGTCTGCAAATTGGGGAACACTGTATGGGCCACATTATATTATATTAATAATTATACTATTAACATTAACATTGTTAATGTTATTAAATATAACATTAATGTTTAATAACATTTAATGTTATTAAATATAACATTATATTAATGTTATATTTAACATTATATTTAAATAAGAACTTTGTTTATTCAGTCCCCTCTCAACGTATTCAAGGGTCATCTGTTGACAAGATGCTTACAAAGACTTGCTAGGATGTTTGTCTTTGCTTTTGATGATTAAGGTTTAAATAAGTTTGCATAGCAAAACTAAGCCAGTAACATTATTTTCTGAGTGCTGACTATGTACCCTGCTAAAGAGTTCGCTTCTGTTCTCGTTTAATCCTCTCAACATCCTAAAGTAGTAACTACTGTTAAATCTATTTTAAAGAACAAGAAAATGAGGGGGAAAGAAGTTAAATAATTTGCTTATGGTCACATAGCTTAGTAAACCAAAGTGTCCCCACAAAGTGTGTGAACCCAAACAGTTCAATACCAGAGCCCGAGATCTTCACCACCATGCTGTACACGAGGTACGCTGCTACCAAGTAGCATAACTGACTTCGGTCATATGGTCTAATTTAAATTATTAGGCTTATGCTAAAGACCTAGGAGTCTGAAATTGGGAAGAAGGGAGGGAGGGTTAGAGGAGGGAGGAGAGAGGGAAATGGGAAAGCAGAAAAGGAATCAGAAAGAAAGGCACACTAAAGCTTTTCTTCACCCAGATAAGAGTAGCACTCACACTATACCTAGAAAACAGAAAATTTTATACAAAAGAAGCTTTAAATTGCCCATAATTTCAACACTCGAGTTATAACTGCTTTTAACAACATGTGGGTATATATTGAGTATATTTTCTTTCAGTTTATTCTATACCTTTTATACAATTGATTGTATTATACATAATATTTAGTATCCTTAACTGTGTCACCTTGCTGTACAGCAGTAATTAACACAACACTCTAAATCAACTACACTTCAATTAAAAAAAAAATAGTGGGCTTCCCTGGTGGCGCAGTGGTTGAGAGTCCGCCTGCCGATGTAGGGTACGCGGGTTTGTGCTCCGGTCCAGGAAGATCCCGCATGCCGCGGCGCGGCTGAGCCCGTGAGCCATGGCCGCTGAGCCTGCGCATCCGGAGCCTGTGCTCCGCAACGGGAGAGGCCACAATAGTGAGAGGCCCGCGTACAGCAAAAAAAAAAAAAAAAAAAAAATTAGTATCCTGCACTTTCTGTGTGACAGTGTAAGCATCTGTCACATGACAGAGTTCTTAGCCTCACATTGCATGTGATAGGTCATCACTTAGCTAAACTTTCCATTGTCAAATAGTTAGGTCTTCATTTTTTTTAAACTATCATGAATAACACCATCAAGAGCATCTGGGAGCAGAAAGTGTTTTCTATTTTCAAATTATTTCCTTGGTATTGATTCCTACCCAGTCAAAAGATATTTACTATTCTTTTTTCTAAAAACCTTTTTACTTTTGCATTTTTCTTTTTTTAGTAAAAATTTAACTCTCCATTAAAACACAAATTCAGTAAGCATTAAGTGGTAATGCAGACAATCTCCCAAAGCCAATTTTATACAGAAGCCCTGCCTCCGGTACGATCTGTACCTCCGTGCCGATGCAGCCCCAGCAGCGTGCCAGGGAAACCGCGCTGCTGCAATTGCACACGCCCACTGTTCCCTCTGCCTGGAAGGCTTCTCCTACCCTCATCCCTATGGCAGACACACACGTGTCTTTTGAAATAGCAACAGGAGAATCTCCTCCTCGTGAAGCCTCTGTCATTAACTCCCAGGCACGGTGAGACCATCTCCTCTTTGCCCAGAGCCTCCTGTGACTATTCTATTACACCGCTAATGGCATCGCCCTGTGTAGCCACCCCGAGAGTAGCAATCGTGTCCTCCTCACCTCTGCATCCTTCTCATCTGGCACACAGGACACGACATGCTGTAAACATTCAATAAATTTT